TGTAAAATGGTAACATTAATGCTCACCTCACATACAGGATGCCTCAGAAGAAACTCATACATGTTCACTTTCCCGCCCCCTGCTTTCCCCACTCCGCCTTTCCCCTGCTCCCCTCCTGACCCCAGGCGTTAGGATACATGTCTTTTCTCACTCACTCATTGCTGTTTGGAACTGACTCATAGCTGACTCTCAAGCAGCTTTTCAGAGGCTATAAATTGCACAGTAGGAGATTGTACATCTTTCTTCTGTGAAACAGCTAGTGGATTTGAACCATGTGCCTTTGGGTTGGCAGCACAACTCCTTACCACTAAGGCAAGCCACTGGGGCTCGCTTAACTGCTAGCTAACCCTTATGGGAATTGTTCATGGAAACACTTCTCTGTTCTGGGCTGCGGGGATCTGGGGCTTCCCTGCAGAATGCACCTCCTACAGAACACCAGCTCCAGTGTCCACAGCAACTTTGGACGCTTTGCAGAGGGGCCTCCAGTTTCCTCACAGGGCTGTTGAGGAGTTTAGCACCGAGGAGAGACTTGAGAATTCCTTATTTGGGGAACAGCCAGGGAAACCAGACATTAAGGCATTCTTTCTCTAGATTATGCAGCATTGTTAGCAAGTGAAGAAAAGACATAAAAGACCAAATTGAGTCTCTGAGCCGGGGGCGAGTTCCGGCAAAGGCTAGGCCAGGCCTGGGCTCCAGCTGTGTTCTGTGCAGGGGCATTTGGCTGGGGCAGATACCAGAAGGCTGCAGGCAAACATTGGTCTTATCCTGTGTTTTGCTGAGTGCTCCAGCTTTATCGGTGTACCCCGGCATCGGGCAGACACAGAAAAGCCAGGGGTGTGGACCTAGGAGAGGCAGAGTCTTCTGCTCCACGTGGCCTGGATTGCTGATTCTGCAGCCAGGTGCATCCAGCCTGATGGTGACAGGGTATCTGCGGAACAAGGTAGAGCTTTGGGTTTACCTTTTCTTTGAGTGGTTTTCTGAAGAAAAGCTAAGGAGCACAACAGAAGAAGACCCTCAAGCGTTGACTGGGGCACGAATGGTGTTGAAGAATAGGGCTTTACCTTGAAGAGTGTGTGGAACTGGAATGCATTCGTTAGGTGGGGCTTCTGGTACCTTCTCATCACCGAGGGGGCCTGCTTTTGGGATGGGACGCGGGGCAGGCTGAGTGACAAGACTTCAGGGCTGGATCCAGGCCCACCCTGAGCCATTGTTTCAGAGCAGCCTTGCACAGAGCTGCCTCCCCAGCCCGATGGGAAATGGCATTTTCCAGGTGAAGGCAACACCCTTCTGGTCTGTGCTCTGCATCGAGCTTGGGCTCCACTTGGGACGCTTTACAAAACCATTTCAGAGTCATTTTACAAAGTAGTGGGATTGATTGTGTCGTCTAGCTGATGGGAATCGCTTTATCTCATAATCCGCAAAAAGCCTCTAAAACGAACCCCAGAAGGCCTCTCCCCAAGTAACCACCATCGCTGTTGCAAATTTTGAAGCTATCAAGGGAAGCAGAATATTGTGTGGGGTTTAGAACAGGAGTCTGTCTGAAGCACCATTATTTCTTCTGTGGTCTTCTCTTTTTAGCAAGCCTGATGAATGTAAATATTTTCATCATTTCTTTAAGGGGCTCATCTGGCCGGATTCCTTCTGGAGAGGGCAGGGTGGGGAATGGAGCGAGGCCGAGAAAATGGCTGATTTCCTGCCTCTCAGGCTCTGGGCCTTGCCTGCTGAAACGGCTGCTCTGAGGGAAAAGCGCTTTGTGGCATCTCCAGGCTCGTGGGCAGTGACGGGGAAACACCAGCCGCAGAGAGCTGCAGGCTGAGCTGCCACTCTGCTCTGTGCTTTTATGCCCTGAGGAATGTGCAGATGTAGCAAGGGCCGTGTCCCCAGCAGCGGCCTGGCTCTCTGTGTTGGCTCTTTGTGGGGCTCCAACGATTGTGTTTGCAGAGCCTTCCTTACCCACCAGGGGAGGGAGGGGAGCCAGCCATTCCCAGGAGCCTTGTTCCAGCAGTTATGGGGTTTAACAGCAGTAGATTCACCAAGTTTTACTTTCTGACCATTTAGAAGTTTGGTGAAGGATGTCAGCACTGAAGTCCACATACTTAATAGGAACACAATTTCTTCTTTTGAAAAAGAATTCATAGAGTGGGTTTCAAAGCTAGTAAGGACCTCAGAGATCGTTCACATTGTTTTTTTGTGAAACATTCTTCTAGGTGGTATGGCACTGGTCTGTGCACTGCTGTACAGAGGTAACTTGTGGTTGCTGTGATGCTAAACTAAACACTGTGACACTGATGTGTCAAATGTGATAATGGTTACCCACGGTGGACAGTGTTTGGTGGAGCTTCCCGATGAAAACAAGCTTGGAAGCAGGAGTGGAATCCACTTCCAAAATGGCTTGCCTACAGAAACCCTATGAACTGTGCTCAGGTCTTCTGTTCATAGGGTCGCTATGAGTTGTCTACAACTTGACGGCACCTAACAACAACAACAACAAAAAGGACCTCGGAGATCGTTCCGGTCTAGCCTTGTGTTTGTAGAGGGAGAATGGAAGTATATTACCCTGTACACATGGCAACAATCAGGGAGCTCTGGTGTCCTAGTGGCAAGAAGCTGCGTTGCAATACTGAAGGCACGTGGTTCGAGGCCACCAGCTGCTCTGTGGGAGATATGGTCAGTCTCCTTCTGTGAGATGAACTGCCTCTGAAAACCTGCTCGAGGGTCAGCTGTGGGTCCATTCTGACTCTGCAGTACACAACAACAACAGCAGTGGTCAGCATTCAGGTACCCAACCCCCAAGTCCCGTGGTCCTTCAGGTCTTGTATAATGAGACTTTTTAAATTAATTTCTGTTAGATTGAGCAGAAGTGACCTGTGTTCAAACCCTGCCTCTTGCGATGCCAAGAGAAATGAAGACACATGAAAGGGGGTGGACAAAAGGGGAAGGGTGGAAATCCCCGGGAGAGCAGGCTTTAGTGGGCAGACTGAGGGCGGAGAGGGAATCATGTGGGATACAGTGTATGTGAGTGAGTGTATGAAACAATGTCAATGAGGGATTGTGTGAATACTATGTATATGAATGAGGCACAACGTAAATGAGTTATTGTACAAAAGCCAAGAAATTTTTTATTTCTCCTTTTTAAATTAACTTTAATGAAAGTTTCAAAGACTTTAGATTTCCATTCATTCATTGAAGAAAGAAATATTTTAAGAACAGAACAAAAAATGCTTGCACATGAATGTTTAATGGAGTTCTGTTCATATAGACCCCAAACGGACACAAGCCAAACATTTATCCACTGATGAACATGATAAATCCGTGTAGTGAAATATTACTGAGCCGTAAGGTCGACCAAGTTGCTCCTAAAGGCAGGACTGGTGAAGCTCAGTCTCGTGAACGCCGGGCATGTTGTCTGTCGAGGTCAGTCCTTGCCAAAAAGGCATCATCCTGGAAAAGGTCAGAGAAAGAGAGGAAGACCCTCAACAGGACAGATTGACACAGTGACGGCAACAGTGGGCTCGAGTGATGAGGGTGAGGAGGAGGCCAAGCCCCAGTCTGCAGTGCACGGGGTCGCTGTGAGTTGTAGTCAACCCGAAGGCTCCCAACAACAACAACAACAACAACAAAGAAAGAATGAGGGTCTATGCTGCAACCTGCATAGACTGCAAAATACCATGCTAAGTGCAAGAAGCCAACTGATAAAGGCCACATATATTGTATGATTCTGTTTAAAGGAAGTGTTTAGAATAAGCAAAGACATAAAAACTGAGAAGAGAACCATGGTTCCCAGGGCATGGAGGGAAGGGAGAATGGACAATAATTCTTAATGGGTGTTGACTTTCTTTTAGCAAAAATGTTCTCATGTAGTAGTGGTGATAATCCTACAGTATGCAAAGCATATGCAGTTGTACGCTTTCACTAAAATGATGAGTTTTTTTTATATGTGAGGTATATTTCAACAAAGCTTATATATGTTGTTCTTGTGTATCATCGAGTTGGAACTGACCCATAGCTGACCCTCCAGAGGGTTTTCAGAGGCAGTAAATCTCTTGGGAGCAGATTGCCAATCTTTCTCCCATGAAGCAGCTGGTGGATTTGAACTGTGTACCTTTGCAGTGCAATTTCCTACCACTAAGCCACTAGAGATTTAAGCTTTTTTATATATATGCCATTTTTTTTTGGTTGTGCTTTGGTTGAGTAACTGTAATGATCCCAAACCCAAGAAACCTCAGCTGAAAATGTTGTTGTTGTTGTTGTTGTTGTTATTTGCTGTCGAATTGCTTGCAACTCATGCCGACCCTATGTACAACAGCCCTAAACCCTGTTCTATCCTGTGCCAACTTTACTGTCTCTAACACACCTACCCCCATTACCCCAGTCACTGAGTCCATCCACCTCATAGAGGGCCTTCCCCTCCTGTGCTGTCCCTCCACCCTACCAAGTATGATGTCCCTCTCCAATGACCGGTCCCTCCTTGGAACATGTCCAAAGTATGTCAGACGAAGCCTCAGAATCCTTGCCTCCAAGGAGCAGCCTGGTTTAACCCTCTCCCTGATGAACCTGTTTGTTTTCTTGGCAGTCCATGGTACATTCAATACTCTTCTTCAGCACCACAGCTCAAAGAATAGGGCGTAATAATTAACACATTAGTGTCATTTGTAAATATTCCTAAATATAAACCTCACATACGTTCAGGCTGCCTGTGGGTTATAAATTCATTATAAATTGAGTTCTTTTTTTTCTCCTCCTGTCATCATCACGAACCTCATAAGATCTGCCTCCTTTGTAAGCACTTAAAGACTGACTTGTTTGCATCAAAAGTGCTACAGCTTTTGAACATTTTCTTGATTCCAGTTAAGCTCAAAATCTGGATGTTTTCCCATTGAATTATTTCTCAACTAATGACCTCTGGTAACCCGAGTTCTTTCTCTCATTTCCCCCTTCTCTCTCCTTTAACAGAGAGGACACAGCTGAGCCATTGGCTTGACCACAGTCCAGCTCCAGAGATGTGCTCCACAAACCCAGGCAACTGGGTGACGTTTGATGATGACGCCACTCTCCAGCCTTCTCCAAATGCCAAGAGCTTCCCCCTGGAGAGCCAAGGCGTCTGCAGACGTAAAGGACTCAAGCTCAACCTTCCCGGCCTCAGGGAATTTTCCAGCAGCTCTTCCTCCACCAGCAATACCCCTCTGCCCTCACCCATCATAGACTTTTACTTCAGCCCTGGACCTCCGAGCAACTCCCCTCTTTCCACGCCCATCAAAGACTTTCCAGGTTTCCCTGGACTCCCCAAGCCCGGGGCGCACGTGCTGTATCCTCATCCAGAGTCGTCTTCAAGCAGTCCCGTGACCACACCAGGAGCAGAGGCCTCCTCACCTGCTAAGCCAGCCTGCTTCCCCCACCCTTCCTCGCCCGGTGATCACGCCTGTGCGCGTCCAGCTCCCACAGTTCTTCTTCCGGATGACAGTAGCCCTCAGCGGCCTACGAGCCTTCCGTTCCAAAGCCCCGCTCCCCAGTTTCAGTATTTCCAGGATGACTGTGCCTTTTCAAGTCCCTTCTGGAAGGATGGAGGGGGTGCTTCCCACTCAACCCTTGATTCTTCAGGAAGCAGAAAGACTCTCTCATCGAGAGACAAGGAGATGCCCGTTGACCAGAAAAGCCTTAATCAGTGCTCCCTTAGCTACATCTGCGAGAAGCTAGAACACCTCCAGTCAGCAGAGCAGCAGGACGCCCTGGGACAGGTGTCAATGCGGTGTCTCGATCCCAAAGACAGCGGCCCTTCCTTTGTGCCCCAGACGCTCTTCAGAAGCCAACCCAAAGCTGGATGGTCCCTCCTGCTGAGGATCCCCGAGAAGAAGAACATGATGTCGTCCCGCCAGTGGGGCCCCATCTTTCTGAAGGTCTTACCTGGGGGAATCTTGCAGATGTATTACGAGCAGGGCCTGGAGAAACCTTTTAAAGAGTTTCAGCTGGATCCACATTGCAGGCTCTCCGAACCCAAAGTGGAAAACTTCAGCGTGGCCGGGAAAATCCATACTGTCAAGATCGAGCACGTGTCCTACACGGAGAAGAAGAAGTACCATTCCAAGACGGAGGGCCTTCACGAACCAGACGCCGAGCAGATGCTCAAGTTGGGGTCCACCGACTACCACGAATTCCTCAGCTTCCTGACGACCGTGGAGGAGGCGTTGATACACCTGCCGGCCGCCGCCAAGCCCAAGAGGAACTACGAGGAGCAGGAAATCTCCCTGGAAATTCTTGACACCTTCTGGGGTCAAGTCACCAAAGAGGGCAGGTTGGTGGCCAGTGCGGTGATCACACAGGTCTCCTGCCTCTGCTTTGTGAACGGGGGCGCCGAGTGCTTCTTAACCTTGAATGACCTTGAGCTTCAGAAGCGAGACGACCGCTATTTTGAGAAGGACCCGGATAAGAAGGGGATCGACATCCTCGACTACCATTTCCACAAGTGTGTGAAGGCTCAAGAGTTTGAGCAGTCGAGGGTCATCAAGTTCGCACCTCTGGACGCCTGCCGCTTCGAGCTGATGCGGTTTAAGACCCTGTACCACGGAGAAGACCTTCCCTTTTCTGTGAAGTCTGTGGTCGTTGTCCAGGGAGCTTACGTGGAGCTTCAGTCCTTTGTCAACATGGCCCCCACGGCTCAGAAAGCATGCCAGGCTGGCTCCTTGAGGTCGTGTGACAACATCGCAATCCACTTCCCTGTCCCCTCGCAGTGGATCAAGGCCCTCTGGACCATGAACCTCCAGAGGCAGAAGTCTCTGAAAGCCAAGATGAACCGCCGGGCGTGCCTGGGGAGCCTGCAGGAACCCGAGTCGGAACCCGTCATCCAGGTCACCGTAGGGACCGCCAAGTATGACAGTGCCTACCAGGCTGTGGTGTGGAAGATAGAGCGGCTTCCTGATAAAAATTCAAGTAAATACTTAATGTCTTACGTTGGCTTTCATGTGAAATAGTCTCAGGTAGTTTCCCTGCCCTCTGGGGATTGAAATGTGGCTGAAACGGAAGCTTTCTGGTGTCCACCGAAGCCGTTCTTACCACCCAGTGCTGTTGGAGCTGGGCCACAGGAGATACTATTACTCTAATAGCTGGTTCATGGTTTCTTCCTGTGTCTATAGGGAGCTCTGGTGGCTTTGTGGTAAGGAGCTGTGCTGCCACCCCCAAGGGCACATGGTTCAAATCCACCAGCTGCTCCATGGGAGATGGATGGGCAGTCTCCTCCCATGCAGTTTACTGCCTCTGAAAACCCACTGGAGGGTCAGTTATGGTTTGGTTCTGACTTGACGGTACATAACACCAAAAACCTACATCTACGGTAACTATTTAAATTTCTTTTTAACCCTTAGAAATAGCATTCTAGGCCAGGATTTGGTTCGCATTGGTAGCACAGAGGGGAAATTTGTTGATGTGTCTGATTGGACCTCTTGACACCAACCTCAAGTATTACAAATGTTGCTAACGCATCTTAGATTCCCTTGTTAACCTTTAAAGACTCTAGCTATGAATGTATCTGGGTTCTGGTTTTGTTTTGGTTTTGGTATTCTCAACCAGTGCCCCATTTGTCCTCCTCGGGAGAGACGACTTTTCCTTTTCCAGCCAAGCTGACTTCTTGGTTCATTCGGTTCATTCCGTTCGCCCTCACCAAGGCTTCAGCCAGTTGTTTTAGAATCGGGTGCATATGTCCTAATGGTTGGGTTTTTTGTTTTATTTTATTTTATTTTTTTGTGTTGTTGTTGTGTACTGTCGAATTGGACCTGACTGGCACAGGAGAATATTACCCCTCCTTCTCCAGCGGAGCATCTGATGGATTCGAATCGTGATACCTTCAGGATTGCAAGGCCTAATAGTTTTTTCTAAAAAAAAAAAAGTTAATCCTTTATTTTTGCCATGAATATTATTTTTTTAAAATTTTCATTTTATATTGCTTTGCTTACAAAGTTCGTATACATTGTTTCACACATTCCTTCATTCACAGTATTTCATACAATCATCCCCACGCATTGTGCTTTATAAAATTAATCACCATTGGACTGGGCCCCTCATTACCTGTCTTTTCAGGTCCCCACTGGATCTTTCCCATTTCCTGTACCCCCTTCCTACCCCCACTGAATTGTGCGACCCTGTGATTTCACCCCTACCCATCCTCACCTCTCTGCCTCCACCCCTGCCCCCTTGGGTCCTCATACATGTTTTACTGGTTGTCCTTTTATTTTTACAGTAGCCATGAATACTATTAATACGGAACTTTAGAAAGGCAGCCCTAGCAGATGGGGTGAGTGGGGTGTGCGGCAGGACAGGAGCGGCAGCGTTGGTGGGGAGCAGGGTGTGTAAGCCCACCTCAGCTCTGAGGCTTAGGGATGGTGTGAGAGGAGCCAGCCTGGGGAGGACTTTGGGGGCCAGGAGTGTGGGGTGCAAGCCTCAGGTGGGTCCTGAGGGGGTAACGGAATCCCAGGGTGCTTTTGAACAGTCTGTACAGTGTGGAGAGACTCAGGAGTTGGTTGTAGAGACAGAAGGGGCTGCAGGAGGGAGGCGATGCTGAGTGAGGGCTGAGACAGAGGCAGCGCTGGGGAGAGAGGACGGGCCCTGGGCAGGCTTGGTCTGCGAGGGTACCCCTGATTGCAGACGGTGGGTGTCGGGGAGCTGGGACAGGTGGGACAACGTCGGGGCCTCTGCCTCCCATGAGTGGCGATTGCCTGGGAGTCTCTCCTCACGCACCCTTGAAGAATCTGGGCCAGTGTGGCTTCATCCTGCTGCATGTTACAATCACGAGGTGGGAGCTGCTGCTGTCCCGATGGCCCGGGACCCCTGGTGACCCGCACACAGCAGGCTCGGTCATTTGTCCTACTGAGGATTTCTGTTGCCTCATTTTCACCCGTGGCTCCCAGGCTTTTCCTCCCAGACTGTCTTAGTCTCGAAATTCTAGAGGAGCATGTTCAGTGTCATCACAACACACGCTGCCTTCACTGCCTGGTGGGTGCTGTCCCCACATGCGGGGCTTTGCCTGGGAATCTGACGTGGGGAAGAGGAACGTTCCACTTCTAGTTAGAGCTACCGAGTGGTTGAACTACCTCTACCCTCTTCAAGTCGCTGAGCTTTAAAACAGGCAGTGCCTTTGAACCGTGCTGCTGAGGACGAGTGCTGCATATCCACGGACAAAACAACAGACAGGTCTCTCTCGGAAGAACTCCAGCCAAGGAGCTCCTAAGAGGCAGGGATGGTGGGACTGTGTCTCATGTACTCTGGGCCTGCTGTCAGGAGGGGCCAGTCCTTGGACAAGGACATCATGCTGGGAAGGGTGGAGGGTCCGAGAGAGGAAGACCCTCAACGAGATGGACCGACACAGTGACTGGACCAAATCAGATGAGCAGCTCAGAGGTGGTGAGGAGGTGCAGGACCGGGCGGGCTTCAGGTGTGTTGTTCCCAGGATCTCTGAGTCACAGGCAACTTGATGGCACCACCAGCAGCAACCTCCTGGCTAGACCTCTTCCCACTAACCAGACACCCCGGTTCTGGTCTTGTAAAATGCTCTCGTGCACAGCCAGGGCTGGGAACGCCTGGCCTTCCCGCGCCTGTGCACTGTGTTATGGTCCCCCAGGCAGAGCTCATTCCTCCTTGCTCTCTATAACTCCGTCCTTGCCCCGCCACTGGGATCGGGCTTAAGTGTTCACAAGCAGTGAGGTCACCGAGAACAATGTCAAGGGTGGACAGTCCTAGAGTGGCTGAGCGGACCCACCTTGGGCTCTGAGAGGTTCTTTGGGAAGACTCTCGGCCCGCCCGCCCACGCAGAACAAGGCCTTACAAGCATTTTCATCAATTAATGATAATTCATGGAGCAAATCCTTTGGGATCAGAGCCGCTCTGTTCAGAGCAGAGGTGGCCAAGGAAGCAGGCAGTGGGCCCATCCAGTAGTCCTGAGAGGGGTGATGCTCTAACCTGGCCTGGGGGGAGAGCGTATCTGAGATCATCTGGCCTTGTCCCCTCCCTTGACTCCTCAGCCTTCCCGAAGGGGGTGCGTGTGTGTGAGTGGGGGAGGCTGCAGCCCAGTCTGCCTTTCTGAAAGTGGGGCAGTGAGGAAATCTTTGTCCTAACAGTGCTAATCAAATTTGTGTGCACAACAGACGCCTTGGGGTTGTGCAGTAACGTAGACACTGGTGGGTGGAGCCTGGAGCCTGTGTTCCTGACCGCTGGTCTAGCATTGCCAGTGTGTTGGCTAAGGTCCAGCCTGGCCGAGACTGGACGCATCTCTTTGTTTCTACATGAGCTTTGTTATAGAGATTTTTTTTTTTTAAATTATGCTAGAAAAATAGAGGGTCAGCGGAAGAGAGGAAGGCCCTCAGGGAGGTGTATTGATCCCGGGACTGCGACCGTCGGCCTGAGTATCACGGAGATAGTGAAGGTGGGCACCATAGGGCAAGGTTCAGGTCTGTGCCCAGATCTGGGCATTATGAGTCGTGATGGACTTGATGGCACCTAACAAAACAAACATGAAAAAGTTACACTTTCTCAAGTATGTTTTCTAAAAGAATATTATTAAAGGGAAGGGGGGGTCAAAGATGGGAGCTGAGACTGTCTGAATTGTTGTGTCATGTACTCTCTAGTCAGAACCGGCTCCCAGCTGATCCTCCAGCGTGTTTTCAGAGGCAGTTAGGTGCATGGGAACTGATTGCCCATTTTCTCCTGTGGAGCAGCTGGTGGATTTGAACTGGGGACCTTTGGGTTGGTAGTGCAGCTCCTTAGCCAAGCTCCGTGTGTGAAGTCTATACATTCTCGTTTCCTTTCCTCCAGGAGATTTCTGAGCTCAGGACTGAGGTATGTGAGCTCACTTGCATGTGATTTCAGGGGCGATAATAAGGGCTGAGCTCCCTTAAGTGTCCCTTCTAGCATGGCGGTGCTTGATGGTCTTTTAATCTTCTTTTTCAAAGTAGGTAGCTCTGTTCACTGACTCATGGCCATCGCATAGGAGCCAGCTCATGGCTGACCCTCCAGCAGGTGAAAGTCACATGGGAGAAAATGGCCCATCTTTCTCCTGAAAAGTCGTTGGTGGAGTCAAACTACCAGACAAATGTGGCCTTTGTGTTAGCAGTTTAACGCCCTACAGTGACATAGGCCTTTTCTCCACAGGCCTTTTTTTACAGGTCCTGCCACTGTTGGGTGGGAGGGAAACATTCTAATTGGCTAAAGAAGATGCAGATTAAAGCTTGAATTAGGAAAGGAAGAGAGCCATGTGAGAGAGCAATTAATAAATAAGTCTATCTCTAACTTCCCAGTTTTACCAGTGAGAATAGACAGTCTGCCTTTACTTTCTCCTTGCGCTTTGTTGGCTCCTGGGTCACTGCTTCCTCCTCTTCTTCTGTCATCCCACTCTTATTTATTCCCTCGATCCCTCAACAGTTCTGTTTCAGATGTGAAGAGTTCAAGTTCAAGGGGGAGTGGATATCAGATAGCTTAAGGTGATTTAGTGATTCCTACTGAGAGAATCAACTCCACAACAATGGACTTATGCTAAGAGCTGTTGTTGTTGTTGTTGTTTTATGCCATTGAGTCCAAACTAACTCATAGCTGACCCTCCAGTGGATTTTCAGAGGATGTAAATCATACAGGAGGAGACTGCCCATCCTTCTCTCATGGGACACCTGGTGGCTTTGAACTGTGTGCCTTTGGGATTATAGCGAAACTTCTTACCTCCAGGCCACCAGAGCTCTATTATCAAAAGCCCCTTTGCTGTTGTGATGAGTCTGACTCATACTGACTTTACAGAACCCCTTAGAGTTTTCAAGACTAATCTTTATGGAAACAGACAATTTGCTCCCATAGATAGGGTTGAACTGCTAAAGTTTCATTTAGTGACTGAGCGCCTTACCTATTGTACCATGAGGGGCACCTTAACAAAAATAAAAAAAAATAAACCCAAATTA